AATTAAATTAAATTAAACTTTTAATAATTTAATTTTCAGACTCTAATAAATTTATAATAGCCATAACCATATAGCACCAGTAGACTAATCAAGATTCAAGAGTGATAATGCTGAGTATCAACATTGGCAGCCCAACCACCAGCCAGGCCTCACCTACTTTATTTAATTCCTGGTCAACAACTAAGATCTTCAGGTACCAAAAATAAAAAGCTAATAAATAAATAAACAAACAAAGGTTTGCTATTTTTTTTTTTTTTGTTGTATGGATTATTTGGTATCTGAAAATTCATTAGATTATCGATTAATTCAGATTCGAATCAGATAGAACCCAACAGGCGGGAAAACTTTCTCTCATAAGTTTTAACGAAATTACATTATCAAAACTTGAAACTAAAACTTCTGATTATATTAAAAGAGTTTCCTGTCAACTCATCCACCCGTTTATAAGTAAATAAATAAACAAAGGTTTACTAATTACCTTCTTACTTTCATCATTTTTGCTACCCACTTATATATAATTTACTGTCGTATATAATTGTGTGAGTTTTTTTTTTTTTTTTGACAATAACAATAGTTAATAAATTAATTTTATTAATTATTAGTAACTAAAAATTCAATTCTCAAATCTAATGAACATCCCACCTCTCTCAATAAGGCGCGACATATCGGCCGCTCGGTGGAGTTTTAATTGTGTGAGTTTGAGTTGTACTCCCTTCTGTTTCATTTTACGTGACGTTTTGGCCTATTGCACTTGGACTAAGGTCATAATTAATTACTCTTAATTTTAGAGTTAATTATAGTCAAAATACCATTTGTACCCTTTGTCTCTGTCATCGTTTGGAAGTCCAATAGTTCTAAAATCTTATCTTTCTCTGACTCTTGCACTTCCAATTCAACGGCTGAGTTCACATTCTTTCGAATTTCATCTGCCTTTTTTATTTTTCATTCTAATTCTACCAATTTTGCATTCTAATTTTTCCAAAACAAAAATATGTCAATACTCTAGAAAAATAAACACATGCACAAATTTTAAGAAAAAATATCAAATTAAAGTAGTCCGCAAGGTCTAGCACTGACATAATAGAGTGAATAATCTTCATCCTTCTACGATAGGAAAAAATGGGGATAATTTTTGAGTTGTTCTGATGATCATAGAAGATGAAAAGACATGATTACAATTTACAAGTTATTGCACATCAAATCCTAGATCATTCCCCGCACCTGGTCCTTCGGGTTAGTTGGCACCCTGCCAGGTTGAGTTACATTCTCCCTCTTTTATGGATGTGTTTCGAGCCCACCTCTCGAGAACTTGTCAAAAAAAAAAAAAATCCTAGATTATTCCCCAAAATCAAAACAATTAAATTACACAAAAAAATTGGAAATCTGGATAGAGATATGGCCTCTGAGGGGGTTGATAAGCCGATGAAGAAGCCGAAAAAGAAGGCTAATTGTGACAGGCATCAAACATTAGAGGAGAAGAGGGAGAAAAGGAAATTAAAAGCATGTTTGAGTTAACTTATAAGAGTTTCAACTTTTTGACAATATTCAGGTTTTATAAATGTTTGAATAGTTTCACGATCTTACACTATAGATATCTTCAACTGCTTTAACACTTGAAAGTTCCAAGGATATTTCCTCGAGAAAAACACTTCGATACTCAAGTTAGCAATACTCAATATTCTAGAGAGAGAAACTCTCAAGAAGTAATTATAGAGAGAGAAGCATAACGAAGTTAATACATTGAGTGGAGGTAGTTGGGGCTATTTATAACCCCCATGTGCTGACATGAGTTCATACGTATAGGCATCCAATTGGTTCAC